CAGTATGAATATTTATTTAGATAAAGAGTAGAGATTTTTTTGTTTTATCTTCTATCTGTTTTATTAAATTATTTTTTGAATTATTATTATAAATAAATAAATATGATTTAAACAACGATTTTCTTATTTATTTTTTATTTTTTATTTTTTTTGTAAAAATTGCATATTTTGATAAGTCGGATCTCTTGATAAGTCGGGCACCATGTCCAGCCATTTGTGTCCGACTTATCGAGTTTACCCATGTAATATGTACATGATAACAATACTATACATGAATGTCGAAAGAATAATTTTATATTTAACTATTTATAGACAGCCAATCTCATGCAAGAAATTAGTTAAAACTAAAAATAAATCCAAATCAATTTATATATTTTCTTTTGCTATATAAGTAATAGTGATAATTTTAAATTTTATAAAGATGATCCCTTAAATCTGTCATTCAAAATTTTGTACCCCAAATTGTTGCACAAATCGGTGGATATGGTAATAGTTATATATATCCCATTTCATATGAAATTTCCCTTTTTGATCAAGTCCTTTTACCCATTCATTGTTAATACACAGACAGACTCGAAGAAGTCAGCCGCATAATTTATACTATTGAGTACTTTAAACAATTGATTACTGCGGGCTGACTTATCGAGTCTGTCTGTGTATTAGATATTAATATGTCGCTGATACCATCGATTTTATTGTTTTGTTTTTATTTTTTGTACTTTCACTTTGAAAGTTTGTATATTTCAAAATATAGGTGATAATTTCTTTTGAAATTGTCTCTTTTTTCTATTTCTGATATTCTTGTTAGTTGTTAGTATTCGATGGTGAATTGACCTTTTTTCCTAAAGTTTATCCTAAAGGATTTTTGTTGGATCAAAACTAATTATTTATTACTAAAGCTCTTATATATTGCAATGTTTGTTTAGCTGACCATGGAGCTTTTCATCATCAGGACCAATCCGTGAGTTTTCTTTAACTAATTACTTTTTTAAAATCAGAGCCAAAAATATTTATTTATCTTATTAGACCAGAGCTGAAGGAAGGAAAATTTTTATTACACACACACACACAACCTTTTGAATTTATTACATAATAGAACACACGTTAGAAGGGCCATACATTCATCCTCTAATAATGTATTATTATATTCAATGGTACACGAAGGAAACAAATCAATAAGAATGTCAAATGATCTATCATACATTATCCCAAAAGTCAATTGTCTAAATCAATTTATTCAATAACTATACATTTCCTTTTTTTTTTTTTTTGTGAAATTAAATATATTTTTTAGAACTATTGGTATCACTAAAATTAAAAAAATATAGGAAATAACTTTTTATTGAAGTAATGGAACTGTTGTACCAAACTTGTGATTAAATAAATGATGAAAATTGTAAAGTTTATAACTTTGAGCTCTATAATCTTTTACTGCTGATCCATTTATTTTAACATAGTCCAAGTTATATATATTAATATATTCTGTATAGATTGTCTACCAGATTGTCCCGGGGTAAGTTTAATAATATAAAAAGTCACACCTTGCTTTAAAATAGTAATTTCAAAAGCTCTGATGTTGATTACTGGTAGAATTTTTTTTGAATAAAATTTGGCTGTGTCAAAATTCAAATATTAACATATATATATATATATATATATATATATATATGTCAATTTTAAGTTGTGAGAAGTTTAAATTAGCCAATGAGTTCTGCACCCATATATAAGTTTGTATAGTGTTATTAAAATTATTAAACTAATTTTAATTAACTCTGAATTAATTTCAAGAAAATTGGATTGAAAAAATTAAAAAATTAAATTAAATAATAAATTGTTGGTTGGTGGCGTTTGAATAAGGTTGAGGAAATTAAGGAACATGTCGCTGAATGGACATTTCTGTGCCTATGGTTGGAATGCTGCCTTCTTTAATTACAGCGTGTTCTCCGATATAAAATATAAAGATTGACAAGATTGATAATATGAGAGGTACAACCACAAGAAGAAATCCACTAGCTCCAAGTGTTGTAGATATTCCATGAATTGGCGTGTCGTTTTTGACTTGTAAATAAAGGTCAATTTGTCCTCCCATTGCTAACAAAATGATAAAAGAACTGAATAATGCGAATATCCATGTCACTCTTTTATATATAGTTTGACCATGGCGAATATACAAGCCCATGCAAAACAATATGAATGATGTTACTACACCTAAAAATATATTCAAACAATAACAATAATTAATTTATAATATTTTCACATTTTATTGGCATAATTAACAAGTAAAAAAGTACATTACCAACAGCATGCATAGACAACAAAAATTTTGTACGGGTATTTGAAATGATATAGTCACTATCAAGACCATCATTGCTATTCGTGCATCTAGATTTAGTGTCCATCATGGTAGCTTGTAGGCAAGCGCCATATAATCCAAATATAATTTTTTGGCCCTTTAGATTACCACTACTCACTTCAACGCTCGCAATATAAATTGACTCGATAGTTGGTGTCCCAAAGTTCAATAAAAGGAGACTCAAGAATGAAATAAAGGACAGGATAGCTGCAGTAGTATTTGCATTTTTAGCAGGGATACAGCTAATCATTCCTATCATTTATAAATAATAGTTTTTAATAAAATGATATGAAGATGAATTTTAATGATAGAAAATTCTTGGTATATTTTAATGGAAAAATTTTATTTTTATAATGCAATATTACGACACAAAAATGTAAAAGATTGTTCGTGTTCATGTTTATTGTTACTATTACTGTCTACACAATCTATTGTTAAATACGCTTTAAATAAAAAAATGATTGTAAAAGCCAAATTTAGAAAAATTATATATAGCAAATATGTTAATGGAAAGGAATGTATGCATAAATTTCGGTGTAGCCAATGCAAATTTCTACAAATTTAGAAACTTTCTGCAGAAAAATTACTAATGACGAATTTTTATATAATAATATGGTTAACGCAAAGAAAAAATAAACCATTTTCCGTGTGTCACCACGATCTTCATAAGTCGTGCAGGTTTTTTTGCCGATTGTCTCTTTTACGTCTACCCATATTTAGCAAAAAAAATTTGTCATACGACAAATGTCTTTTGCGATTGCATTGGAAATGGAAAGCAGTGCGATGCAAACAATTGCAATTGCAACCAATGATCAGGAAAAAACTTGTTTTTCAAACCTAATTTTTGGGAAAGAATTTTTTGCTTTCGCTAGGTGGTAAATTTTAACTCTATCTCTTTTTCTTTGATGTTCAATGAATGTAAAAACCTTTTTTCCACATGATAAACATTTATCGTGCAATAATAATTTTTTTCCAACCGTAGAGAAATATTTGGTTAGAATAAAAAATTTTGTTTATTTTACATTTAAGAAGAGCTATTTAATTTCAATAATTGAATTCATTATTGTTTTTTGTTATTTATTTATTTTATCATATATGCTACTAAGAATAACTTTTTGGTGGTGGCGAAGCATCTTTCGTTTTTCATTTAACATTAATATTTATTTAGTGTGATGAAGATCATACCGTTAATTTGTTTATTCTTATGAGAAAAGCATCATTCTATTATTAAAAAATCTTTAATGTTATTATCATTTGTCCTGTTGTTTTTGGATTGTACCATTGATTTGTTTACTTTATGAAAAGTATTATGCGTTTATTGACAATTGAATTAATTGTCTATTACTAAAAATGCTAAAAAACATTTTTTACTATTATTATCATATGTCCTGTTTTTTTGGATCATTGATTTGTTTACTTTTAAGAAAAGCATTATGCGTTTACAATTGAATTCATTATTCGGTTACTTTTTTTAATTAATTGACAATTGAATTTATTATTACTAAAAATAAAGCATTGTGCGTTTAATTAAATTGAAGATTGAATTGATTATTTGTTTATTACTAAAAATACATTGATCACGTCTATAGATTCATTTTGCAAAGCTGGATTGCAAACTTTGTTACTTTGATCAAACCCGCCTATATAATTATTGAATAATTGATAAACATTCGTTTTGCAAGCTTCATAGATCTTGACTAACACTTACTTCGATCAAACTCTCCTATATGATTATTTAATAATTGATAAAGCGTTCATTAAATATATTTTACAAAGAGTTTCATAGATCTTGTATTTAACATTTATCTTGATCACGCCTATACTAACTATTGAATAATTGACAAACATTCATCAGTATATTTTACAAACATCTTTGGAAGCATCATACATTGACATACATCTTGTATTTAACACTTACTTCCACAAACTCGCAGCCTAGCGTCAACTCTACTTTTTCTATTGAATTATTTGGAATTTTTTTTTTTAGATTACGCAATAAAAATCATGGAATAGAATTTGTCCAATGAAATGCAAACTGTATATATCCCATGCACAACTTGAAAAAAGTTGGCATATATGACTCATTTTTCCATTACTGGTACTCATATCAGGGTAAGACATGCAATGTGACTCACTTAAATGTGTTATTAAAGTCTAGAATGTAACTCTTGCTGGTGGCTCATGCTGGGTGTATTGACCCTTCGTGACATGACCTCTCTCTTTTGTTAATTTTTTTTGTTTATTTTATTTAAAAGGAAACATTTTTAAAAAAAAAGAAAAAAAAAGAGATAATGAATCATAATTTTTTGAGGATGACAATAAAGATTTTGTTTCATGAAAATATTCAAGTTTTTCGAAAAAAATGAGCGGATGGCTGTTCTATTTTTGAATTTAATAAAATAGACTATTGTTCTGGCCTGGGTGATGTCATTTTTTTGCTCAAAAAAGATGCAATTCAAACCTAATTTAAAATAAATGAATTTTTGTTCTCGCGTAGCAGATGCAGATCATCTATTAATTGCTATAGTAACGATTGGTCGACTTCAAAATACTAAAACAAAAAAAAATTATATCATTTTAAAAAATTTAAAAACTTATCGACTGGTTTTTTCTTAAACTGAAAATTGGCTGAGCCTTAGCATTTTGAAAATTCCGAATTTTGTTATACATTTAATATTAAGAAATTGAGACCAAGTAAATTTCGTGTAACACTTTTTTTCATAGAATATTTCCTACGACATACATTTGATTTATTTATTTCCTTTTTTTTATTAATAAATAAAAGTTCTTTACAACAAAAAAGTTTAACGAACATATTACATTAAAAGAAAATCATTACCAAATTTGATTGTGAGATTCAAAATATTGTATATAACACGAAAATTATTGTTGCACTTCTGAGCATAACTTTCAAATTTAAAAAATAGGCTCCCTTTTTAAAGCTGAATTGAATGGTGGTGAGTTTTTAAAATCCAATGTGTGGAACACATAATATTTCAAAAATTTTTGAGTATAGATGATCCGCACTGTAAAAGACTGTGTTGTTGATCAACAACATACAGTCAAATTCATAGGTTCGGCACAGTAAATTTTATGAATTTATCGAATTATTCCAATTATCGAGATTTTATTATTACTATAAAAGTATAGGTTTTTTATAAAATGAATGGGATTGGCTACTTATATATGAATTTAAAGAGCGAGATTTCATATATGGTGACATATACAAAAGTCAGAGAGTTATGAATTTATCGAATTATTCCAATTATCGAGATTTTTTATTACTGTGGCACTAGTTCCTGAAGAATTATGAATTTAAGGAATTATGAATTTATCGCATATGAATTTAACTGTATGTTAACAAATTATTATGTGCGGATTTTTTAGTAACTTTATCATATATTTCCACCAAGAATATATTTTTTTGAAAACATGAGAATTTTTTTTTTTTTTTCATAATAAAATCAAACAAACCTTTTTATAGTTTTATTGTTTAAATCTTCTATAATAAAGTTACAGAGAGCTTTTTTCCCTATCTTATTTGGTTATAAAAGTTTTTCTATTAGCAATCTTTTTTCAATTTCTTTAAGATTTATAAAAAAAATTTAGTAAGAAAAACTCTCTGCAATCTAAAAGCTTGATCTACTTACTATTAGTTTCATGTCTGTATCTCTTTATTTGAAGGCTCTGATGCAATTTTTATCTATATAGTTTTTATTTTTATTTTTTTTCGCGTTTTGTGTAAATTTCAAAAACAAAGATGTCTGATTTAAAGACGTTAGAAACCAAAACTGACTTGATTTTACAGACAGAATCGATATAAGTATCCTAGTTACGATGGTACCATGATGATGTAATTTAAAATATGTGGGTCAGACTCACAATCAATTGATTTTTCAGCCAGTTAAATTTAAGGAAATGTATTATCAAAACAATGTTAGAAACCATTAGTTCGAAGCACTAGTTCTAGTTTAAATATTTATATATTTGACACAGCTTGATTAAAGACTTTGATTAAAACTTTGACTTTGTGTTTCTATTAGGGTAGGAGGAAACAATTAATGAGAAATTGCATTGAATTAACTTTTGAGCTATTGAGTATAGTTCAAGGTTGGATGCCGAAAGTGTCGAAAGTGCCGAAAGAAAATGTGCCGAAATAGGGTTTCTACACTTTAAGGAATTTGTCAAAAGTCGAAAGTGCCGAAAGTGCCAAAATCGACACGATTGTAATTAAAATTAACCAATTGTTTTGTAAACTTTAAACTATTTATGTTTTTATGATTCAAGGTGTAAATAAACAAAAAAAATTTCCTTCATGTCCAATTCTAATTCACCAATTCTTTCTCAATCATCATCATCATGCAATATGAATTTACAAACATTAAATCTAGATAATACATCTGAAAATTCATATAATAATCAAGAATTAATTCATCAATTCCTTTTATCTAAGCAATATTAAAAAAGAATTAGAATATACTGGTCAAACTTTAACAGAAAAGGATTTAAAGAGCATGTTGGTTGAAGCAGAAGTTATTTCAGATGTTGATGATGAAAGTAATAATTATGTTGATGATGAAATTGATTTGACAGATTTAGAAATTCGTGATATCATGGATTTGGAAAATAAATTTTTTTTAGAAGACAATGATAAAATGGATGAGGATATGGATGAGGAAAGTGGTGGAGATTACAGTGATGATAGTAATGAATTAGATTATGATACATTAGGATTAGTTCAAGAATCAATGAATGAGGATTTATTTTCAGAAATAGTTAATGAAGAAGCATTTCAACAACCAGAAGAAAACCAACAATTATTACATGATTCTACAGGTTTTGAAGAAAGTTGTGAAGCCAATGATGAATATGAAGTAATAATTTCTACTAAAACAAGAAGCAAGTACCCAATTAAGCAACACAATCTACGAAATAAAATTGCTTAAAAATTTGTTTTAAATAATTCTATTATTTTTAAAATAAAATTTGAATTTATATATACTTTCATTAATTTCGACATTTTTCATCACCTTTGGCGCTTTCATCACTTTCGGCACTTTCGGCAAAAGTACTTATCATTTGCCGAAATACTTTCTACCCTCCAAAATACTTTCGGCACCCAACCTTGGTATGGTTACGCACGTTTTCCCGTCAACCGTTTCCCCGGCATGACGCTTCCTCGACGAGATGTTTTCTAAAGCGCAATCAATAAAATTAGTCTCAATTCAATTTGTATAATGTAGTTAATGAAATGAGTTGTCGGGGAATCGTGCCAGACCCTTTTAGAACATCAACTTCTGGAAATACTATAGTTGATAATTTTTATTCAACAGTTCATCTCTTCTGGACCAAATTACAGGATGAATGGATAGATGGATGGATACCTCTTGTGATCAACTCCAAAGTATAAAAAAGTTAACAAAAGTGGGTTTAGTTCAATTTATACTGCCGTGTGGACGAGATGCACCATTACAATGAAATAAAAGAGAACTTGTTTATTATGGAGCGTAAAAAACAATATTGAAATTCAAATAAATGAATTAAGTAATCAAAATAAATAAAATAAATATTTATTTATTTGTGTAATAAAAAACTTAATCCATCATGCAAGTATAATATTAGCTAGTGAGAAACCTTTAAATGTTGATTAATCTACTATTATTAACGTTGTTTATTGTTTTATATAAATGGAAAGAATCAACAAAGTTAGTGCAATTAATCATTAATTTTATTTATTTTATTATTATTTTTTTTTTTTTTTGCATTCATTAAAAATTAATTCATTACTTATTTTTTTGTCTTGAAAATAACAATTTCAAAATTTCATATTTTGATAAATTTTTAAAGTACACATTATCATCTTCACCTTCAACAGTTGGTACACGATACAATGATAGATTTTTATATTTAAAATGGAAAGTTTTACATCAGATACATAGTGTTCGAGTACCAAATGCACTATGAATCTATTATCCAAAATCTAATTTTCAAAATAATAAAATTCAAACATTTTAATTAAAATTTTGTTAGTGATTATTACTAATGATGTTTTTAATTCTATTTGTAATCTTTGCAAAGATAAAAAATAACAGTCCATGAGTTACTTATCACCTAAATTGTTCAAATATAACGTCAGTGAAATCCCATAGTTTTAATGCGTTTCTATATTTTAAAATACCCGCAAAAATGTAACCTAATACTAAGGCAATCCCCAAATTGCAAATAATAACAATAATAATAATAATCAGTAGAAAAATGATCGAATATCTATCAATGCTGTAAGACAATGAATGATTATCTGTTCAATTGTATTTTTTTTAAAAAAATAGATCAGATGATTGATTAATGATGTAGATTTGATAGTGACATCATAAATAAACCATGCTCATAACAATAGAATTATCATCCTTTTAGATTGTAATAAAACGTTGTTTTCATTTCTTCCTTATTATAATACTTCAAATCCAAAATAATCATTATTATAATAATTTTTGTTATAATAATTGAATTTCTTTGGTTTCACAATTAATTCAGCCATTACAAATAATTAATTACTTTCCCCTTTCTTTTTGCTTTTAAATGATTGATAATAAATAATTAGTCGATTATTTATTTTATCTAAACTTTCAAAAGATTTTGATTTTATAAATAAATTATAACAATGTCTAGTCGTAAGAAAGTACTTTTAAAGGTAAATAAATAAATATTATCAATTAATTACGACCTCTATCAATTAAAATTCTCATTATTTTATTCTCTCATTCCCCTTTAAATGTTTTAAAGGTGATAATTTTGGGTGATAGTGGGTAAGTTATATACATGTATAAATTAAAATTAAATGTTGATATTAGGATTATATATAATATATACAAAATTATAAAGATCTATGCAAAGAATATGTAATAATCTATAATAATCTATATTTAATATTAGTGTTGGGAAAACGTCTTTAATGAATCAATATGTGAACAAAAAATTTACAAATCAATATAAAGCTACTATTGGTGCTGATTTTTTAACTAAGGAAGTGCTAGTTGACGACTGTCTTGTAACGATGCAGGTAAATAATAAACAATTCATCCGTTAAAATTCATTCATTCATTTCATTCTATATTTAATTACAATAATAATTATTATTATTAAATAAATGAACCAAAAAGATTTGGGATACTGCAGGACAAGAACGATTTCAATCATTGGGTGTAGCATTTTATAGAGGGGCCGATTGTTGTGTTCTTGTTTATGATGTTAATAATTCGAAAAGTTTCGAGACTTTGGACAGTTGGAGAGATGAATTTTTAATTCAGGCTTCGCCTCGTGACCCTGAAAATTTCCCTTTTGTTGTTTTGGGCAATAAAATTGACGTTGAAGAATCAAGAAGAATGGTAAATTGATATTGCTCTTAATGATGATTAATAATTATTATTTTTTGAAGAAAATATAATATTTATATAATATACGCGTACACATAATATTATTAGATATCGTCAAAGCGTGCCATGTCTTGGTGTCAGTCAAAAGGAAACATTCCCTATTTTGAGACGAGTGCCAAAGAATCAATTAACGTAGAGAATGCATTTATAACGATCGCCAAAAATGCTTTACAGCAAGAAAATGATTCAGAAATGTATGTCGTCGTGTTTATATAAAATATATTATTAAAAAAAAAAAAAGTTTTGTAATAAGTTCACTAACAATAATATTTCAATTAATCTTAAATCTAAATAGATACAATGATTATACAGATGCAATCAAAATTGATAGTGAATCTACTAACGATGGATGTGGATGTTAATCATTGATTTGTTTTTTTAATAAAGAAATGAAAATTATTCAAGGACTTTGTCTCTATTCAGCAACATTATTAATATTAATAATAATTTAAAAAAAGAAAAGTTGATAGATTTTTTCTTTCAAATCTTTAGTTATATATTAGTTTTATATATATTTAACTATATAATTTTCACCTTAAAATTCATGTATCCATAATTCATATTTATACGCATATACATATATATTATTATGATTCTTTGCTATTTATTATTATATTTATTATGCATTATGTACTTTTCCATCATTAATTTTCTTTTTTTTTTTGTTAATTTTATTTTTCTAAAAATCAAAACAAAAAAAATCAGATCTTTTAAAAAAAAATCAACATGCCAATTCAACTTTTTTATGTGCAAAAAAAATTATAATTATCAAGATCTCTTTAATATATATATTGACCAGATAAATGAACAAACCAATTTCGGGGGCTCAAAGCGATGAAAATTGCTAAGCACCACAATTGTATATGCTATAATGCGTTGTGATTGTGATATCATTAGTTTTATAATCTCTTTACCTGTGTTTATTTTCATCATTTGTTTTCTCATCTTTTTAATCGTTCAATGTCCTCCATATTAAGATAATTGGAATAATTGGTTGGCCCAAAGGTGATTACTAGGCTATTTTCAAACTTGTAAGCGCATCTTTTATATGTAGCCTCTTGACCTACCCTGTAGATAAATTTTTCTTATCTAAACAGCACAAGATGCGTTCGCAATTCTGAGACATATCTTTTGCAGTGGACCACTAACGTTAAATTAAACTGCAAAATCCCATTATCCGGTATTTTCCTAACTTTCTTAATAAATTCTTGCAAAAGCTCTCACATTTCAGTCGAAGTTTTTTCATCGGAAATGGTTTTTTAGGCTTAATAATAACGTGCCCTTGGATCAAGGCATCTTTTGGACTGCTAATTGGACAACGACTTTATATGTTTCAGCTACCGGGCCATTTTGTGCTCGCAACTTTTCTACACTTTCCTGGTATTCTTTGGGATAGGCTTAAGTCATCTTATTGATCAGGATTTAGGTCTGTTCTTCTCAACGAGTAACTGACTATATTCCCTATATGTATATGAGATACAAATTGCACAGGTTGAAGTGTGTATATTTAAAATGTGGATATTGATATTCCCTTTATGTTGGTCGGTTTTCTATGTAGACAATTGATGTTGTAATTCGGTATATATATATATATTTGCAATAAAGAATTAATTGCAATTTTGATTCTCCTTACCCGTGGAAGTTACATGCCGGAAGATTGTCCATAGATTTTATTTGATGCTTTGTCATCAACTGGTTCACATAATCTTAAGTCTGTAATAATAATATATAACTACCACCTCGTAAATCACAATATGCTAATGGATACGATTGCGTGATATACAGCTACTACTATCGCCACCATTGTCATTATCAAATCAATTTCTCTTCCGATACACAATCTCCTGTAAGAATATTATTACCAGCTACCACAAACGCAACTTGTTGATTTTAATACAACTTTTATGTAATCCAACAATTACCACGAATTGTTTAGTATTGGTATTAGATTGTTATCTTGTATTACAGATAGATGAAAAAACAAAACATCTATTATGTAGCAGGCACATGCCAAAAATATCTGATTGCAAGTAATATAGCACAAGATTATCTTACCGTAGTGTTGTATCAGAGCGGGCATTCTCGATTGCCGAAAATACAATTCGTGAAACTTGAAATTGTTGCCAGAAAGAGCACGTTTATATACGAAGAACTGGATTATCAATAAAGTAGGAGAATAATTCTTCACAATCAAGTATTTGTCCTCTATTTGCACAATTCCATTCCATTGAAATTTCTTCTCTTCTGTATATGTCATGTTCTCCTTTTTTTTTAAATAAAAAAAAATTTATTTATATAATTCTCAAACCACTTGTTAATAAATAATTACCTACTCGGTTTGATTCATTGTTTTATTGTCACCTTTAATTAGTGACAATTTCGTTATAAATAAACATATCAGACATTAAATAATGCCCAAGTGTTGTTATTATAAATTAAATGAATTGATTAAACGCCTCTGTTCATACCTTCTTCTGCTTTACTGCTGAGCTTCAAATAAATGACATATCTTTTTTCATGAACTAATCTTTAGAGCTTTTAGATATTATCACTAGAAGTTCCAATTTATCTTGTAAAATGAATTTACACCAATGGCAATATATTAATGGATGGAGGCGATGGTTTTGTTACTGATTTAAGAAATAAAACCACAATTAAACACTTAACAAAAACGCTTACCTTTGCAAGTGAATTTTCTCAATCCATTATAAGCAAGATCTATTATAGAAAGATCCATGAACTGTATATCAGAAAATAATAGAGAATCAATAAAGAATAATGAAAATACAGGATAGAGTGATCAAAGATAGGTAATACTCACCAATGGCTTCCCTTGCAATTGATTGTTCTGGCAGCCTTTCATCTTCTATACTATATACTGCCATGAATAAGTAACCTTTATATTTTAATATTTATAAATGTAATTAAAATCATTATATTTTTCTCTTTAGTTGATCAAAATAAACAAACATTCTTACTTTTTTGTTATTTAATCTTTTCCTTGAATGTGAACATCTTTGTCTCCAATATTGTATCATGCCCATTACAATATTCATGACAACTATACAATGAATTTGATATAACAAACAATTGCATCACCTCAGTAATAAATAATACCAAGACCATGCATAAATAAAATTTAAAGTTAATGACCAACATTTATAATATTCCTGTCATTAATTTTTTGTGTGCTGCAAGTGGTATAAATGGATGAACATATTATCAGTTGATTACCACTTGATGCTGTGAGTAATGTTGATTTTATTTTCAAAAACTTTAAAAAAAGCTGTTCATTAGATTAATATTCATCAAAATTGTGTTAATCTAATATAAGTATTATATATAATTAATTATATATAATGTGCTGACTATCCTAAACACTGTTTGTACGTGAAAATATACGAAATACAAAATTTTGAAATTTTCTTTGACATAATAAATTTTGTCATCACACATTTCCCAGTTCCCCAGAGCATACATAAAATCAAAACCGACTCCTCAACACCTAACCGACAAGATGTCTCGTCAATTCCAACTCTATTGCACACACATATAGGGGCAAGCAAACAAGGGACGGATTTCACTACTTGTCATCGTATTTCTCAGCATTCTGAATAAAGAAACTTCCAACTTTCTGAATTTACAGATGGTAGTTGTACTGCTATACTTCGTTATAACCAGGACTAGTGCCACCCTGTTGCAGTCCTGGACTTTCTTTTGAACTCTTTGAAGATGAAATCATGCACATTAACTGACTTGTACCAAGAAATAGACTTTTTCAAAATTATGTGGGGTAATTATACTACTATACTTCGTATCAACCAGGAATAAGTTCCACCCATTAACATCCTGGACTTTTTCATAAAATCTCCAAAGAATAAATCAATAGTGCAAGCAGCTTGTGCTGAAAATGAAAAATAAAGGAATGTTTTGAAAAAAAAATTTTTGATGTTTTGTTATACGCGACATAATAATTTTATTGTCTATTCTTTCCTAATATGGAAATGATCCTTGTATTCAATTTGAGAAATGATCGGCATTAATTACACCATATGTTTTATGTTTTATATACAAACTGACCCGTCATCTGACTTTAATTCAATTGTATCCCACCAAAATCAATTGTATAACAATATCAACAATATATTCTGACTTCCCACCTTCTATTTTATAGACTGCCAAAGTAATTCAGATGTTAGATATAGAAATCTCTTTTGCAATTAGAAATTGCACATATTTAATATATAATTTAATATATAGCTACACTTAAGCAAATCACCTTACAGAAAATGGATGTCAAACAAAACTCATCTCAAACACCTTCTAGCAATGAACGTAAAGATAAGAGGAGAAAGGTACTTTTAGAAGGCCAAGATTATGAAATTAATAATATCTGATAAAGTTACTATTCCAGATATTAACAAACATTTAAATTTGGTTGGAAATCAAGCATTAATTACATTGTTGCATTCAAGGTTGTTGTTTATATATTTGTTTATTACTATTATGGCAGGAAAAACAATTAAAGAATTAAAACAAATATTAAGAAATAAAGGAATACAACTTCCTACATAGCAAACAAAAAAAACTCTTGTTGAATTATATAATCATAACAATAATATTAATAATGCTACAACAAAAAAATATTTGTTTATTTGCTGCTATAATAACAATAATAATAATATAATAATAATATATCTTGTCCTTTTTTGTAAGTTATATTTAATAGTAACTTTTTTAAAAAATATATAATTAACTTAATTATTAGTTAATAGATTATGAAATATATAAAAAAAATTTTGTGTGCATGGAAAACCAAGAATTGATACCCGAATATAAAGTTTATTACAAAATCAAAAAAAAAAATTTGAACAATATGCATGTGATCCAAATAAGAAGGAAATACTCAACTACAACCAAGTGAAAGAAGTTTTAAACATTGTATATATAAAAAATATCAAAAGAGTCATTGTCCCATCCAAACAGAAATTTTGACTTCTTGAAAAAGATCCAGAAATGTTAATTTATAATGAGTAATTTTATAATTTATAATTATAATTTTTTTCTATTTTGAAAATAATATTCATTCACTAATCACTAATCAATCAATTCAATTCAAATTAGAAATGATAACAATTATATCATTCCAAAAAACACTATGCCAAATTTAAAATGCTATTTTAATTTATTTATGAAATTTTTTGTAAAAATTTATCAAAGGATTTAAGTCATTTTATAATGATGGCATGGCAATTCTGGGTTGAATAAAAATTTGTTTATATTGATTGTTATATCAATTGTATCACATGATTTTTGATTTTAATGACATGCATAGATTATTCACCTAGAAAAGAAAGGGATGTAAATGAGCATAAACAAGAAAGGTGGGGGTTGGTTGATGAACTTTTAAAAACTTTTGAAAGCATATTACCTGAAAAATCCATTTTGTTAAAAGAAACTACACAATTGACAAAGAGAGAATTATCAGCACTTGTTTACATGTTATGAAAAGGAGTAGTTCACCTTGAAAAAATCATCAAACAAGTCATCAATCTTACTGAACCAAGGATTACTGTAGGGAGGGGAAGGCAAGGTTTGGTGCCCTGAAAGTAAAAGACATTGGAAAGTTAGTTAATATTAATTATGTTGAGTCAAGCACACAAACTCTAACCATCATTTTTTTTATTAGATTATGTTCTTTAATGGTTTATCACTGGATAACAAAAAAGTATTGATTAGATTTGGAATGGACAAACCTCTGGATGAATTGGTTGAACACTTAGAAAGAATTTTGGCATCTCAAACTGATGGAACTAAATTTATGTTCAGAAAAATGATTCAGGATCCAGTTCAGTATTTAACTTCTATTCAAGCTTGAAAATGGTTAACAGAATAGTTGGTTTCAATGAAGAATATCTCAAAAATCAATTTCTCAAGAGATTATCAGATGAACAAAAGCTGTTCCAGTGAAGATAAAATTTTGATATCAATTCATTCACCAGAATGTTCATACTGATTTTTTATATTTTTAATAACTGTTTGATAGTTTTAAAATCTACTTGGGAGTGGACTAAAATTTTATATCACACAAATGAAATTAAAAATTTTTCCATGGGATAGTTTAACTTTTGTAAAGAAAAATAACAACATAATGATTTTTTTAAAATTTATTTAATTTTCATGCTTTTTATTTTTTTAAAAAAAAATAATATTAAACATTCTTTTATACCATATTTGTTTTATTAAATCATATATCTTACTCTATACCATATTATAGATAACTATTTCATAATAAACAAAAAATTTATGCATTAACAATTTTCTCTGTGATATAATGTTCACTTTGTCTGGTTTTGTTGCAAGCATGCCCCATTTATTGAATTTTGTGTATATCCACGTGACTTTTAGTTGTATTTAAAGCAAATCATTACTATTTATATTAATTTAGACATTTAGACGCCCATCTATAATCATGTAATATCATCAAATGAGGTGATGAAATCTTTTATTTTTAAAGATTTGTGAATTGTCATTAATAAATAATGTATCATGATTATTGCTTTGTTGATGATTTATGGATGCAGTGAGGTTTAATAATGGTAAAGATGATGAATAATTAGAAATTAATATTTTGGATAGAATTAATAGTAATAATAATAATAACAACAACAATAGTAGGAAGGCAGAAGATAATAAAATAAATTTATAATGAATTGATATTTTTGTAATTGTTTTATTTGGTGACTTTTTTGGTGTTGTAGTTGACACAATCGTATTGGTAATTGATAAAGATGACTTGGCATTAAGAAAATCCAATTAATTCAAAAATAATAATAATGTTTTATACCAAAATAAAAAAATTAAATGAAATTTTTTTATCCCGCGCATATGATTTACTATATTCTATTGTTTTTGAGAATATATAATCATATAAATTATATTTCTAATGCATCAATGAAACCATAATATTTACAAATTGATTAATGTAATCATTTAATCAAAGAAATTTTTTCTTTTATCAATTAAAAAAAAACATCATTCAATATTAATAAAAGAAGTAGTATTGGCATTAGCATTATTGATGGTAATGTTATTGGTGGCAATGTAGTTTTATTCATTTATATTAATTTTGTTTTCAATATTTAAAAGATTTGTGAAATCGACAGTTTGTGGATTTAGAAAAGGTGTTTCTATCAATTAATAAATAAAAATATATAGAAATTGGCAAATAAATATGGCATCAAATTCTTATAATAAATCACGTTTATTTAATTACTTACTTGTGTTGAAAGATATTTTTTGGGCGAAAGGCAAAGTATCATCATATGCTGGAGCTGTTGGTCAAAAGTTTTTTGGAGTCAAAATTCCAGATTCTTTATTTGAAATATTTTCTTTTTTATCCACTTTAATTTTGTTTCTATTTTACTACAATAATAAAAATAACATGAATTTTTTCTGTAATATAAAATTTGGAATTATATTAATTGAATCTCAAAATATATATATTGATTACTTGTTTATCTCATTTTCTGTTGTCAAAATTGCTTGAACATGTGATGTACTAAAGTATGGATTTGTAGCTTTTATAATTGCCAACCACTCTTCATCATATTTCCAATTCCATAACTTCATTTATCATATTATCATTATTTGGAAATACTAAAATCTTTGCATAATAATAATTATGATAATCTGTTATTATGTTTTTATATTTGGTGATTGACAAACCTGTGCATTTTATCCAACGATAAAAATCTTATGTACTACAATGTACATAATCTAGCATAGTTTCATGTGACTAAAAGCTTTATAATATCGACCGACTTTTTGTCACTTGATACATTTTTATATTAATTATTGATATCAATGGTCTATTTTATGAAATAACGTCATTCATTGTGCAAAGGATGCCATATAATTCCAACATGATTTTCTTTATGCATAATATTCTCATTGTTTCAATTTTATTTTAATTAAGATTCATAATGTTAAATAATTCCTTACTGCCAAATTTACGTAAACTTAGTAATGATCACAGAATATGAACATAGTAATAGTAATATGTACTAAAAAAAAATGGAATTCTCTATAAAGCTGGAGAGAAAGACCTGTCCTATCAACCAATAAAGTTATTTTTTTGAAAGGCAGGACAGAAAGTGACTTTTATACTTTTTGAAATTTGTGCATTAAGAACTCTTTAGACCACCCACGCTCATTATAATTATATAATAATGGCATAAATAAATTTCTGCATAAAAAATTCCTCCAATAATTATTGGCAGAATGATCTCTTTCTCAAGCTTTAAAGTCACGCGACTGTGGAATTTATTCAGCGACCAAGTGACTTATTATCATGTATTTTTCCGCAAAAAACCCAAATCGATTTCTAAATAAGGATAGCACGCATCCAATCCACCAATAAAATTGGATATTCTCATGATGCTGCGGAAAACCACACGATTATAGTTTCTTTTCGTTCTCTCTTTCCTACCACTCGCTATACCTGAATCAGCCTATATATCATCAAGTGTTAAATAAATAAATAAGTTTAATAGGTTAATTTGTGAACCTATAATTTATTTGGTAGAAAGACGCTTGTGCCCCAAAAAATTTGGAAAACAATTAGGAAATACCTTATTTATGTTCAGTGTAACTAACTATTCATCATAAAAATATTCGCGTCTTTTATTTTTAATAACAAATTACAATAATAAAGAGTATTGTCCTAATAATATCCAAAAGCTAAGGCAAGACACAAATTAAAAATGGAGCCAACAAGACGTAGCGGAAGAATTCAAAACAAAAAATTGGTAGATACCAAGGATAATAAAAAAGATACAAATAACAATATTGTTCAAGACAATAGTGGTATAGATGAGCATAAGGTAACTAATAATAATAATATTAATGATAATGAAAATGGTGAAGTGGCAAAGCTTGTTAACGATAATAGTAAAAATGATACGGTTGGTAGTGGTAAAGATAGTAATAATAAGAGCAACAAGCGTGGTAGAAAACCAAAAAATTCCAATTTAGAAAATAGTAATAACAATGATATCGATAATTCTGGTGGAAAAGATGATGCGAATAATGATAATAGTGTAAATACTGGCGGTGATGTAGAAAATTTGAATGTACAAGTTATTGCTGCTGCTCTTGCTGCTGGTGCTGCTGCTGCTGTTACTAATACTAATAATGTTGCAGCAAAGTCTAATAGAGGTAGAAAGAAAAAGGTAGCAACAGTTGAAAGTGAAGTTAATGCTGATAGTAATGGTAATAAAATTGATAATTCTAATGAAAATAATAATAATAAGCCAGTTGATAAAAAAGGAGCAGAAGAACAAGTAAAATCACCTGAAACTACTACTGCAACAACAACCAAACCTGCTCGAGGAAGAAAGAAAAAAGTAGTTGACGATACTCAAAGCTCCAATGAAACCAATAAAAAAAATACTGATGTAGAAATTGAGAAATCATCTCCAACCACTACCGTTACTACTACTACCTCCTCAACCAGAGGAAGAAAGAAAAAAATAGCTGATGGAGATGACAAATCTGGTGAATCTAATACAATGGATGCGAATATTAACGAGCCAGGAACTGAAGTTAATAAAGAAATAATCAAGAGTGCTATTAACACCACTAAAACTAAGCCAACAAAGGGAAGAAAGAAGAAAGAAGTAACTTTTGATAATGAACCTGCAGAAAATAAAAATATTTTTGACGTAGAAATGGATGTTGAACCATCCGCATCCGCTAATACCACAACCACCAAAACCAAATCAACAAGAGGAAGAAAGAAAAAAGCAGCTGATGACGAGAGTGACAAGGCTATTAATAATAACACTGAATCCAATACAGTTGCTGATGCAGAAATAAAAACACAAACTAAATCTTCCAAAGTTACCAGCACTACTGCTAAAACTACCAAGGGAGAAGTAAAAACAAAAACCTTGACAAGTATTGATGAAGAAGATGAAATGAAAGGCGTAGAAAACGAATTACAACAAGAAGATCCTGTATCTACTAGTAACAAAGGAAGGAAAAGAAAGGTAAATGAGGTCGTTGAAGAAGAGAAACCCAAGAAAAGACACGCAAAAAAACAAGAAACTGCGTTTAGTACACCAATTAGCACTTGATCTTTCTTTTTTTATCATATATATATATATATAACTATATTTACTCCTTGTTTTTTTTTTTTTGAAAAAATATTCTTTGCTATTTTTTAAAAGTTTATAATGATTCTAACTATCGTTAATCTTTATTATACAAAACAAAACACTCCCCTTCTCTGTAATGATTCTCGAATATAATATTAAAATTTTTTATTTACTTAATTAATTAATTATTATTATACTAAATAAACGTCGAATTTTTACATTAAATTAATATTATTAACATGAATTATGAATTATATACAAACAAGTGAATTTAAAATTTATGTTGATCTAATAAATGTTGAATGACTTTCCAACCAGCAACATTTAGCCATTTTCTTCTAACAACCACATTAGTATGAGCATCACCTTCTATATACAAAATAACTTTACGCCAACTCATATCAGAATGCCAACATCTTGCAATCTTCTCTTCGATTGAATTATTATCATTATCGTTAGATGATGACAAAAATTGTGATGAAATTTCATCTGGTGTATAAATCTTATCATGTAAAATAGATGAATAAGAGTTTTTTATACTTCTGTCTATATGGTCTGATGAGACGTCAGGTGGAGATAATGAAATTCTCACATGCTTTAGTTGATCCATTAAAGTTATTTTATACGGGTAATTATCGATGCCATTGTTATTATTACTATTATTAATATTATTACCATTATTACTATTACCATCATTATCATTACTATTAATACCATTATTATCATCATCGTTATTGTTATTAGGAAATAAATTAGCAGTATCAACAAAATGCAGTGACGAGGAACGAAATGAAACCGGTACATCATTAGCAATATTTGAGTAGATTGTACGGTATTGGAATTTTGCTAGAGCGATATGAGACTCTGAGGTTGGTTTTGCAAGAGCCAAGAGCAAAGGTTCGTCTTCCCCGCCTTCGGTATTTTCTTCTACGGCACCGCTTGCTTTATTCTGTTGTTCCCTTGATCTTGGCACCAAAGCCAAATCTTTACCGGTCTGACCAAGCACACCAAACTTCATGCCTAATCTCACATACCATGGGTGTTCACTAGATCCGAGCCATGGGCTTGCAATTGTTATGAAATGTATAGGTTTGATGTTATCAAAAAATTTTCCACAAGTTACGGTATACAAATATCCGACTACAAATACGTTGATTAATCCACCCAAAGAATGACCTATAAAAGAAATTTTGGAAATGGTTGGAGAAAATGTCCTTGATCTGCCATCACTATTTCCACCATCATCGCTGTTATCATCATCGCTGTTATCATTCGTTATATCAATGTAATCTAAAATTTTCTTTGCCAACTTTTCACCACATTCTTCAATACCATCTTCCGTATAAATGTGCAACACATCAGACGTGTAAACAATAACCCTGTTATGATTATCTTTAGGATATAACTCTTCGATTGATTCTTTCAAATACAATTGATCCAACATACTACCGTGTATACCATGAGTTAATACTATCAAATGAATATCATTTTGTTGCTGTCGTACACGTTTTTCTTCTTTAAGATTAGGCAAACTAAAAATATCTTTGGTAGTAAACAGTTTGTACTTTATAGAAGGTGATAATGTTGTAGTGACACTTTTGCCTTTCTTTATTGTTTTATTATAATTCGCTTCAAAGATTTTAAATTCATCTTCAATCGTTGCATTTTCAGGTATTTCTGCAAAAATAGAAATTTCATATTTAATTGAATTGGGGCTCCTGATGATTTCGCTAATTATATCTAACGTCCAGTCTCCTTTCGTCCTCCTCCTCCCATCTCCATCATTATCATCGATCAATTCTAATTGAAAACGCCATACTCCTCCTAATTTTAAAGCTGGTTTGAACTTTAATGATGATCCAGGTAAGGAATGATTGGTTTCTTTATCGTCATCATCATCTTTATCACCATTATTATCTCTTCGATTTCTCACACCAACACCACGATTTTTTTTTAATTTTGAAGTTTCTAAGCAAGAAACTGAAATATTATGAGGAGCAAATAAAGAAAATGACCTATATACTATCGGTTTTATATTTGCAACTTTTACCGATAAGAATTTTGGTGGCCATGCTGTGCTTGGTTGATGTATTGATGAATCAAAACTTATATGATATCTTGATAATTCACCAGTTATAAATTCTGAAGTGGAATGCCACAAACGTATTAAATTTACATCCGAATTTTCCATATCAACAACTTTTTGTATTTTGCAATTTTTTTTCCCTGAACTCTTGAATCACCTGAATATTTTTAAATAATAATAATAATAAAATTGATGTATGAAGCCGACGACATTTATTGAATGTTGCACAAACAATAGAATAGAAAAAAGTGCAAGTGGTTTTTTTACCCTCATTGTTATAAAGAATTGGTATTCCCAATGTGATCATTTAAAAGCGAGTAAGATAATATAACAAACCGAATTGCAAGAATTTTTAATTAAATTAATAAATATTTTTAATGATTTTTTTTTTCCATTTATTAGTAATGATGACACAATTAATAATTAATAATATTAAAGAAAGTAAAGAAAAAATTAATGATTAATATTTTAAAAAAGAAACAAACAATTAATTAATTAGTAATAATTTTAGGTTTAATAATTTAAAATAATTTTGTTTATAATTTTAATATTTATTTAATATAAATACAAATGTATTAAAAAATAAAATATTTATAAAATATACAGTTAAAAAAGTAAATACATACATTAAATCTCTTGGTAACAATAAATAATTTATGTTCTGTATAATGTGAAAAATTTCGATTAATTAATTAATAAATAAAATAAAATAAAATAAAACAAAACAGGATGGAATAGAATAAAAGAAAATACCGACCTTTACTTTTATTGATTTTGTTTTTATTTTATCTTTTATTATATGTCTTTTATCAACCAACATTCCATCATTATCAAATTCTTCGCTATCGTCGTCATTATCACCACCAACTTCTGCTTCTTCCGCGCAATGATTATCCGATGATTCTAAATCCTCAGAATTATTAGATTTCTTGTGATCATCATCAACAACATTATTGTCATGATCACTGAATTCATCGTTTGTCCATTCAGAATCTTTGATTGGTTCAGATTTTTGTTTGAAATGTTTAATATTATTCCCACCAACAATTCCAATATCGGCAATATCAGTAATGCCAATTCCAAGATTGCTAATATTCACACCATCACTATTATTGTTACTACTGCCACTATTATTATTATTATTACAATTAGTAGCAATGTTAGTGGGTGATTGATTGAGTTGTTTTAATAAATTTTCTTTTTCAATTTGTAAGTTATTAATTGCTATTTCAAATTCTTCCAGCCTTTTCTCCGATTCTGATAGTTTAGAATCTTTTTGACTAATTAAATCCTTCAACGCTGATTTTTCTTTTTCTAAAATTTTCGTCTCATCTTTTTTTGATTTAATAATTTTCTCTAATTTATCAATAACTTTTAAACCAACATCATTATAAGTTATTGATGAACTATCAATGTCATTATTATTACAATTGTTTTTATTATTTGAATCAAAAAACTCCATTATTACGTTGCGTATTCTTTTTATGGTTATATCAAAGTTTTCTTTCATCTGATTATAATCTTTGGTAGTCAAATCAAGTTTATTTGATAAATCAACAAATTCTTTTTCTTTATTCAGTAATAATTGCTGATAATTGTAATTATTATTATTATTACCACCATTCTTTTGTTCTTCTTGCAATTGTTTTTTAGTAGCTGTATTATATTTTTCTGATTCATTTGTCTTTATCATTATTTCCTTTGCATAATGATTATTTTCATATTCCCTTTCATTACTGTTAATTATTTCCATCAGATCGTTACAATTTTCTTTTAATACATTATGTTCTTTCAATATTTCATCCATTTGTTTAGTATAACTCAAAATTATTAGTCGTTTTTCTTCTTCGTGTCCTTGAATAGTTTTGGTGAAAAGCTCATGTAAATCTTGATATGATTTTTGTATTATTTTATATTGGTTTTGTTGATCTTGTTGACTTAGAATAACCGCTGATGAATTAAACTATCAAAAAAAAAAAAGCAAAAAAGCAAAAAAATAATACATTAATTAATGATAATAATAATAATAATAATAATAATATTATTATTATTATTATTAAACATAATTACTTCAAAGAGTTTTACCTTATTAATAACCTTATTATTACTACTAGATATGTTAATTTTATTCGCACTATAATCTTCAAGTTTGTGATTAACGTCATCCAACATATTATTTAAATGAGTTAGGTTGTGTGAATCCTGCCTCGCAAAATTCAATTCTCTCTAATGATCAATTAAATCGTTTGAAAATTTAATTAAAAAACAACATTTATCGGTTTAGAAATATATAATCTTTATATATTGATTTTTAGTTACCTCCACTATATCAAAAATTGATAAATCATTGCTAATACTTTTTGATAATGATTTAGGCATGCTGTTGCGTTTCTTTTTTTTTTTAAAAAAAAAAAATAATATAATTAAAAAGATTAATAATTGATAACTTGATTATGTCATATCAAAACAATAATTAAAAAAAAATTAAAAAAATTACCTCTCCGCTATAAATTCAAATATTATAAAATTTAATAAATTAATATAATGTTATCATAAATTAAAAACGTATATATATATATATATACTACATATTGACTGACTTTAACATATACGTACTTTCTCTCTTTGCTATAATCATTATTTTTATTATTGATATTATTATTGTTAGTTTTGGTGGTGGGAAAATTATTGTTGTTGTTGTTGTTGTTGTTGTTGTTGTTGTTGTTGTTGTTAGTGGTATTTACAATAGTATCGCTATTATTATTATTATTATTATTATTATTATTATCATTAATGTAAATAATAGCCGAAACTTTTCTAAATGTTATTTTCGGGTCTTGTTCGTTATTTATATCGATTCCAAACTCCTAATTATTTAAAAAAACATCAGTCAATAAATCAATTAATAAATAATCAATAAAACAATTAATAAAAATAAATAAATCAAAATTTATAATTATGCATACAAGCAAATCTTTATTATTCAATTCCACAATCTCACATTCACCATTATCAGCTTCAATTTTTTTACCATTGACAAAAGTTCCATTACTTGATTTCAAATCCTTAATATAAACCTTTCCTCCAACTTCTCCCCCAACACCATTAATAATTCCATTCCCATCACAATTACCCCCACAACCGTTGCCACAAACACAAAATTTCTCAAACCAAATTTCTGCATGAGATCTTGACAAAACCTTACTGTCAAAAAATCCATTTGTTTCTGAAGGTGTTGTACTTTTATTTATTGACCTACCTATTTTTAATGGTTCCTTATTATATAAGAATAAAGTCTTTCTTTTGAAAGTGTCATTTACTGGGTCTAAAGTTAAGGTGATGGTTGATGGTTGATTGGTAATAGAATTTAATGACGAGGAAGACAATGAGGAGGAGGGTGACGAGGGTGAGGGTGAGAGAGAAGGAGAAGGAGAAGGTATGTATACTCCATTTGTAGTAGTTGTGGTATTTGTTGGTGTTGATGATGGAGGTGCAACATAAGTGAATGAATTCATCATTATTCTCGATCGATGTGATGATGATAATCCATTTGATGAACGTCTAATTGGTGATGCTTTTAAAGACATTTTTTTTTTACTTTTGCAGATAAATAAAATAACCTTTTTTTTTGCTTTTTTTTTAATTATATTAAAGGATAGTTAATAATCATTAAAATTTTGTAAAAAAAAAAATTTCAAGATTATTTATTTGAAAAAATGATAATTAATTAATTTGTATTATTTATTTATGCATAAAAAAAAAAGACAGGGAAAACTCGAAAATATATTTTTTTTTGCAATTTTTGAAATTTTTATTAACGATTGACAAGGTTCTTTACCAAATATGCATTGTTTATATTTTCCGCCTCCTGAAATGTTTGTCGAAGATCAACAATGAGAATTTTTCTATTTCCCCCCACATTCTTCTAATAATTGTGACTGATGATGTTTTGTTTATTTAGATAAGCCATTACGTAAATAAATCCTTAACATTAGTGATCCAAGAAGAGGAAAGCAGAAATTGAAGGAACAATCGATCATTTTGAAGTTTTTTGCGTCAAAGAGGATAGTTGCTTATAATGGTATACATGAGTTCATTTTTCGGTAATGAAGCTAGACACAAAGGATATTATTATTATTGCTAATACCATAAATATTTTTGATTATTAACTTGCACCACATTTAAATTGATCGACAAATACACAAACAATTTTGGTTAAAAAAAAATTTTAGAAACAAAAAAAGTGATGATAATACGTACAGTCGTGGCTTTTAATTCATTCAATATCCTTCATATATAAGATAATTAGTTCAAAAATTTGTATCGGATAAATAGTTTTAAATTTTTTTCTTTTGTTGGGTTATTGCTTAGTGTCTTTTTCTTTTGTATATCTACATTTGTCAGAATTTTTTAATTTATTAGTCCACGTCCTGATATTTCTTGGATAAATTTCTTTTCTAAAGGAGCACAAAAGTTGCATTTGCAATGCTGAAACATTCTCTTGCGGTGAGTCGAAAGAAAAGAATGCTGCAAGATTCCCAGTATCCAATTTCCTTAATATAGTCTTGCAAAAGCTCCCCATTTCAGCTCAATTTCATTAGGGATTGTTTTTTAGGCTTAATGATAGGCCCTTGGATTAAATCATCTTTTGGGCCAGCTAATTTAAACAACAAGTTTACCATTTTCAGCTACTATGCCATTTGGTACTTGCAACTTTCTTTGGTATTCTATTCCTCTGGGATAGATTTTAAGTCTTTTCTTTGATCAATTGATATATTTTTTTTTGTAAATTAATTATCTGCAAAACTTTTTTCCTATATTAATATACTTCCTAAATGATATATACATGGGATTATAAAAATATAATATTAATATGAAACTACATAAATTACGCTAAACCAAATCGAATCAAACCGGATTTTTAAACTTTAAATTTTAAAAATAAAGTAAAATTTGCGAATCTTGAGCGAGATTCTTCGAAATAAAGAATTTTCATTGGGTTAATATATTTATATGTATTAGATATCGAATCGAATCGAAACAAATCAAATCACGATTCGTGTCTGATTCGATCAAAAATACATCAGAAGAAAGAAATTATCGAGGGACACATTTATGTTCAGACAAAATAAAAGCAAGTTTTCCAAGATGATAAACAAAACGAATAAAGAAAAATATCTTGCCATCTCGCGAAAGTTTTAAGTTGCGTCATATAGAATTGGCTCGTTTTTATTAATAACTTGAATATTTAAAAGATTTTTATTGAAAAAGTACCACAGAGGAAGAAGTGACAGAAGAAGACTTGGAAAAAGAAAAAATAATTAAAAACATAAAAGTGCGGCAGAAAAATTAGACCTTTTGCGCATTTGCTTATTTTCAGGTCAAGAATTCTATCAACGATTAAAGCATAATAAAAGACTAGTAAAACAAATAAATTTGAATAAACATAATAACGAAAATCTAGAATTTACCAATGAAAAATTAAAGATATCGATAAGAATATATCAAAGCAAGAGAATTTCCTTTGAAAATCATTCCCTAAAAGAAACTTTCCTATCAGTTATTGATGAAAAGCAAAACACTGAACTATTTAATAAGGAAGTGGATCACTTCTTCGGGTCTTGTTACCCTCCGGTTGATAGTCTATTAATATTTACTAAACCAAAGATAATGTTAATAATGAAATTATATTCATGCCTAACATACAACATTTTAAATTATTATATGATTCAATATCCTCTGAAAATAACATTGAAAGGAAATAAAATAACAATTCATTGAAAAAATGATATTTCAAATGCCATCTGATTTAAATTTTTTTTGCAAATGTTATTATTATTATTGAATTGAGACCGCTCGCTGTACAAAAATTATTTGTTTAGTATTAGACACTTTTGCTTTGTTAAATACAAGTTGTCAAACTTTACTTTGCTTTTTTCATCCATACTTTTTATTCATTACACAATTATTTTAAAATTGCATTAGAATTACCATATTAATATACAGTTTACTCTTTCTATAATAATAACGGACTAAAAATTTTGTCCCGATTTTTTACTATTATTATTATTACTATTATAATTATTACTATTTAAAATCTCATATAACGGATATTATTAATTAATATTAATATTCAAAACGCATTTTATAATACGGAATACATGCTGAAATAAGTATATTTATAGTACTTTCATACTAATATGGAAACAGTATACCATAAATATTAAATATTTTATTAAAAATAATAAAAACGTGTTAAATGTAATCATAATAATAATGTTTGGATGTGGTATTGGTGGACACAAGGTTAATTTAGTATATTAATAAATTGTTAGCATTTTGTTACCATCCAATCATTATCACCTTTACATTTGTCACAGGAACTAAGGGTCGGAGGAAATGACATCAACAGTTTTGTTTAGAGCTTCTAATTTGTAAGTTTAAATTTTTTTTTTTGATTGTCGTGTAATATCTTTATTTTTTTTCAAAATTTAAATAAATTGATTGAAAATGATCTAATAATAATATGGTATCCTATTTGTTAATTTTTCTAAGTCTTGTTTATTATATGGATATTTATGATAATTTCTAAAGGTATTTATGGTTGTTTGATCATTAATTATTGATTTGCTGAATCTAAGAAAAGTTGTATTGGCTCTTATTTGACTATATGGGAGCTTTTCAATAGAAACAAACCGCGTTGTGAAAAAAGCAATTTTGAGTTAATACCATTGCTATATGTAACTAACATTTCTGGCTTAGAAACCATACCCCTTTGAATAGTAAAATATCGATATACTTTTCTAGTTTCAAAAACAATAGTAAACCTCTTAATGCAGATCTTTTTTTTTGATTTTCTCAAAGCATCATTTTCACAACATGGTCTGCTTCTATTGAAAAGCCCATATATGTTTCCAACATGCCAATTTTTTATTAATTCACTAAATGGGTGTGAGTTTTCTCTAATAAAAATAATCTGATAAGAATAGAGATGCTATATTATAGTTTTTTTTTTCCACCTCAATCCAATGTTTCAGATACAAAATAATGTTTTCAAATATTCATCAAAAGAACCTGATCTGAATAAAATTGTATATATCCAGTGTTGAAGGTATAATATTATTAAGAAGATCTATCACTGACCTATATCCTTACAATTACTGGGAGACCAATTAAAGGTATGAAATTTTTAATAATAATATTGTCAGGGTTTTGTTTTCCGGTTTTAGTTATTGTCTTTTAAAAAATAGCTGGCCAGGCCAATCAGCAGTAATAAGCACATAATCTTCCAATAAACGTAGATTTTTCTGCTGAAAATTAACTATTCTTGTTCCACTGATGGATCTATCTTGCTGTCTCTCGGCAATTAAAGAATCATAGAAATGAACTGCAAGTAATTCTATTCTAATAATTGTTGTGAGCTTGAGGAGATCCATTTTATTTTTCTATTATTATTCTGTGTGCTTTATATTATATTATCAGGATTAAAAATAAATACTCCATTGTAAATTTCAGGAGTTGGGGTTGGTCCACATTCAATTTTTTTTTTTTGATATACAAGTTGCCATATGGTTAACAATGGAAAGTGATCAATATTGAAACAAAACAAAAAAATTTATCTAGGATTTATGTATATATGATAAGTATTAAAAATTAAAGATTATAATTTATTTATTACTTATATTAAATATATATTAATTATTTCAGGATGCTAGTATACTAATTGTTTTTTGTAATCATCAATTATTTTATAGGATGTTGTAATTCCAATTTTATACAATTTGTTCTGACCAACAAGATATAAACCAAGGTCAAGTTTGAAAGAATCGGTGAATTTATCATGTAAGCTTACCAACAAATAACAAAAAATTATAACTGATCTTTATTTTTTTTCTTTTTGTTCTGATGGAACAGTTGCTTTAATCATTTCTTCAAAAAATCATTTAATCTAATATCTCAAGTTAATTCAATATTATTTTATATTTTTTTGTTGGTCATAAAGGACCTTACTTGGAAATCCGATCTTTGATGCAAGGTAGGATTATTTTCTGTTCAAATAAATAAATATTTTATCAAATTAATCAATATTAAAAAATATAATATAAATACCATCAATTTCATTATTTATCTTCCACATAATATTTTTTTATATGACCAACTATTGATTCTTTAGATGATAACATTCTCTTCAGTGACATTAATTTTAATATTAGACAAACTAACTGTAGTAGATGAAGAAGATCCACAAGTTTCGTCAACTAATTGGTGAGATGAAGTTTTAGTTGAAGATCTCTTGAGTAATCAATGTCTAATAATTCGCTGGATCTTTTTTTCTGTTTATCTTTATCAAGATAGTGGCTAAAGCAAAGTTGGTCACCTTCTAAAAAATTATTTTTATTTTTATTATTACTTGGGCGATGTGATTATTTATTATGAATAATATCAAATGCATTGCAATAGACGTTATATGACAGCAGAAAAAAGGTATTCATGTTCAAGGAAAATAAATAATGTTTATTATTTTGATTCAACTAAGAGAAAAAATACACACACACATATATATATAAATATTATATACTAAAAAAAT